CTTAATATCGTGTAAAAGTCGTAAAGATTCACCGTTTATTTGATTGACATGAAATACAATAATGGGTAAAATAACATACAAACACCTACTACGTGACAAGATGTGAACTAAAATATTTAAGCGATCAGGTGTGGCCAGAGCAAATTGTTCGTAAAAAATGAAAGAAAATAGGTATTTATATCATAATACTCAGGTTGAACTCCTGAATATTTTCGTATAAACAGCATCATTGGGCAAACTTCAGTTATTTCTTTAATTATGTAAGAAGATGTCAAATTCAGTTTCAAATGTGAATGTTTATGAGAGGGTTGCAAATTGCTGTCAATCAATGTGTAGGGTATATTGCACCGATTTAGAAGTTTTTGGTACTTCTGGAAAGGTAATTGAATAGACAAAATTAATTTTCTAATTAAATACTTCAATTTGTGACACATCCGTGGTTTATATTTCAAAAATTAGAATGGCGGTTAATTACAATGGATTCTTGATGCCAGCCTATAGCAGAGTTTAGCTAAGGACATGATCACATGCACAGTTTCTATAAGGGAACTCAGTGTAGGCTGATGTCGTGCTGTGGCCCCTGGCGACTCTTGATAAGGTAACATGAAGTCTAAGTCATCATTTAATGGTTCAATTCAGGATCATCTCAAAGTCAACGTCAATATCTATAGGTATTTGGCATTTTAAGGCACTCGGGGGATGCTGTGACCCTTGGTGACCCATTATTTGGCGACATTCATGTCATTAATGTCAATTCAAGGTAAAAAGTCAATATCTAGGTATTTGTATTTATTTTTAAGGTCATGTGAGCCTGCTGTGACCCACTCGAACTGGAGATTGCTAGTATTATTAAAGATACTCATACAAGAATATGGCGAGAGGGTGGGGAAATTGTCTATCTATTCTAATATGCAAATATGGCACTCTGTAAGGACCCGAGAACGCATTCGGGGAGTTGCATGGTAATGCTCTGTGTGCGAACCAAACCTGGGACCTTCTAGTCTAGATTCTGATGCTCTACCACCTGAACTAAACATACAAGCTTAAAAGATACAATTCCATTAAAAAGAAATATGGACCGATATTGTTTTGTTTAGATAAATATGTCAAATCAATTTTCCATAACAATTCAGTTAGTGCAATATACTTTATCAATTGACATTTCAAAAATAATAGTCAATCGTTTCTGTTTTATGATGATTTGCATAAAATTTGCTGATTTGAAGAAAAATAATAACAGAGGAGAGGTTATCCAAATATGAGGTCATATTAATGACTGCACTTAGTAATCTTAGTAACGCTGGCGAAGTTTTACATGAAAGAGTTACTTTCTTTTGTGGTTTTGAATTGAATCAGTATAAGCAGGTGTGTTTCCAAAAATGCAAATTTAAAGCAAATTTCACAAAATTTAGTTATTGATATGTAGAGATAGTCCACTGGGGTATGGTTATTCTCTTAAAAACAATAATGGTCAAAATTTGGCACGTCTGACTATATATAATGCTTTTTTATTCAAAAGTCAATGACATTATTCTTATTTTGCCATCAAATGATTTCCATATATCCGAATAACCCTTATGTTAGTTTTTGGCAAAGTAAATAATTGTAGGGGTCACACAAGGATCAACTGTATTGACGAATTTTCATACTGGTGTATGCCCTGCCGCTCTAAGAGGAAGTGCAATTAATTGTGAACAAAAAAACAAACACATTATCATTATTTTGTTTAACATTTAACAAATAGAATTGTGTTAAACGTCAATCTATAAAGACTATGGGTCACTTCATAGTAACCTACCTCAACACCAATTTATGGGATTTTCTGGAGTTTTGGCGCACACTACTCTGTTTTTATCATACTATTGATTTTGTCATCAGGTTGTTGCAATATGTTTGAGGGATTTTCAATATCTCATATAATTTATTTATTTTCTTTAAGAGTATAAAGTATATATAAACTCATTGGCTCCTTTTCCATTATTCTTTCGTTTCGGATCACTGTCGTCATGTTACCAGACCGACTCTGTGGAGGGTATTTCAATGTAAATCAATGTTGCTTTTAACCAATGTTAAAATACAAGGACATACCCGGCACATCATGGTACCACATATGTTACATTAACTTTTAAATGTTATATGTCTCTGGCTACACATTGACATTATTGTTGTATTTGCCAAATATTTCATATCGTAAATGGTTTGCTGTTTCATCTCGCTTCATCAAACTTATGACATCAAACGATATATTACCATCATCTAGGATTCATCCTAGCCATCATTTAATAAGAACTGTAAGTATGGTGTCATTACCTAAATAACATTTAAAGCAGCCAGGTCTTATCGGTCAATTCAGAACAGGAAGAAAACCCTTCAATATTCGCCCAATATGCCTCATTAAATTCACCGGTCAACAACATGAATTAGTATCATCCAAGTTGCTGGACAAAATGCTCAACATCGATTTCAGCTCATCCAAATAAGCTCTATTTGTATATTCCAGTTATTGTGTCATGCAAAGTTATTGTGTCATGCAAACTAATAAAATTCAAATTTAAACAAGTTGTAAGAAATGCAAAAATGTCTCTAAATCGGAGAACGAAGCAAATGGTTTCGCTTATAATTGGGATGACCTATAGAATTTATAGGATATCCCTTGGAAGATAAGCCGTCTACATATGGCAACCTTATTATATATAAACGTTCCGATACCTCTATAACTTTTAAATATACATATTCTGTGGTCTGGCCATGGCCTGTTGATTTCTACGGGGACCGCAGAAATGAACAAATATTATACACTTCTACAGCTACCTGTGTCTGTGAAAAACTGGATACGCCGTATGGAGACAGCAAGGCGACCGTAGTTTTTTCTACGCTCGCCGCAGAATTCACTAATTTAATTGATCTGCGGTCGACGTTCGGCCGTCGTACGACAAATGTGACTTGGACTTTACCCATTAAAACCCTAGGCAGACGCAAGTTGACCGTAAGTCCGAAGTGCGGCCACTGCGGAGTCCTTCTGCGGCCTGGTTACGACCTGTTGATTTCTACGGTCCAAATATACACATGATGAACATTTACACCCCAGTCACATTTGTCGCACGGAGTCCGTGCGCGCGTCGACCGCAGATCAATTAAATCAGTGAATTTCTGCGGCGAGCGTAGAAAAACTACGCTCGCCCTGCGGTCTCCGTACGCATATCCAGTTTTTTGCAGGCCGCAGGGTAGCCGTAGAAATAATAACTCTGAGTTATAATATTTGTTCATTTCTGCGGTCCCCGTAGAAATCAAGAGGCCGTTGCCAGACCGCAGAAAGGTCCAACGGTGGCCGCACGTTGGGTTTGCCGTTGAGTTGCGTCTGCTGTAGGGTTTGATGGGTAATGTTCCTTTGGAAACAGTTTTTATGTTAGTTTTCGGCCATATATTTGCTGTAAACACAACAAAGTACGTATACTGTTTGATGTAAGGTAACTGATACAACAGCAACTTATATTTCACTTGCACTTTTTATTTGATACTCTACCCTAATACTACAAACAACATTAATAAATTGTACTGACGTAGACAGAATAAAAAGAAGAATTAACGTTAAATCAACATAAATTCAAAAACTCGCCGTGCAGCTGCCGTAGAAAATGTGACTGCAAAAGTATCCGCGTAGAAATGGAATATTTTAAAAGCCTTCGTAACGTTTTAAAAATTTAGAATAGAAAAACGATCTTTCGGAGTATAGGACATTTGCGCCGTTTTCAATTACTTTGTATTTGATCCGAATTGGTTTCAAACCAAATCCTGCAAAATTATGATTGATTAAGCCATTGCAAGGGGTCAGGCCTCTAGCCAGGATTTCTCACATGGAGTTCTATTTTTGCTAACACCCCAGTCACATTTCCTACGGCGACCTTGCTGTCTATCATTTCTGCGGCCAGTAACATTTTTACGCTCGCCGTGGAATTTCTGCGCTCTCATACTTTTGCAGTCACATTTCCCACGGCAGCCGCACGGTGAATTTCAAATTTCTGTTGATAAATTATACTTTTTTCATTTTATTTACATCGGGACAATTTATAAATGTTATTCATAGTGATAGGATGTAATATCAAATGAAAAGTGATCGAGAAACATTGACAAATAATTATTCAATGTTGTTGAGCCGGTTGATTTTTACGGGGACCTCAGCAATGAACAAATATTATAACTCCGAGTTATAATTTCTACGGCGACCCTGCGGTCTTTAAAAAACTGGATAACACCCCAGTCACATTTTCTACGGCGACCTTGCGGTCTATCATTTCTGCGGCCAGTAACATTTCTACGCTCGCCGTGGAATTTCTGCGCTCTCATACTTTTGCAGTCACATTTCCCACGGCAGCCGCACGGTGAATTTTAACTTTCTGTTGATAAATAATACTTTTTTCATTTTATTTACATCGGGACAACTTATAATGTTATTCATAGTGCTATGGTGTAATATCAAATGAAAAGTGATCGTGAAACATTGACAAATAATGATTTAATCTTGTTGAGCCAGTTGATTTCTACGGCGACCTCAGAAATGAACAAAAACTATAACTCCGAGTCATAATTTCTACGTCGACCCTGCGGCCTGTAAAAACTGGATAAGCCGTACGGAGGACGCAAAGCGAGCGTAGTTTTCCTACGCTCGCCGCAGAAATACACTGATTTAATTGATCTGCGGTCAACGCACGGCCTCCGTACGATAAATGTGACTGGGCTGTAAAGGTGAGATTCCAATGATGAACAATACTGTATCGTGATACATTGTGTCGTCCTTGACCACTAGTTTAACACGAGTTGTCTAAACAAGCGATAACCCTTTAAATACCTTTTCTGATGGGTTCTCAGGTATTCCATGCCTTTCAATTAACTTGAATAGTAAATGTGTGAATGAGTGGATTAAAGTATACAAACACCACCCGGAACTTCATTAAATGTAAAATACACACATATTGACAACCGGGATTGACAACTGCTCATACCTTTATTCCCTTTGTTGTATACTGGTTTGTCCGTCTCCATAAAAACAGATACTTGTTTTGTGTCAAATATCAAAGATGTTTCGTTGTAAAATAAAGATCCACCAACTCCGCTCATTGATTTGCCTTCTACATATAGTGTATAATTCCCAGGGGGTAGAAACTCCGGCACCTGGTAAGGAAATAGAAGAGCATTTGCAAAACCATGTCATTGAAGATTAGAGTGTTAAAAGCATTATCAGATCCTCAGCCTTAATCGCCTCTAAATATTATAAAATGATATAAAACTTGTAAATTTATTTATTAAAGTTGTAAAGATTAGCCCCCCTCTTTGTTAATTTCTAGATCCGCCACTGTGGATTGTATCAGTGTGAACTTTTATATCTTACATAGGAACGCGATGATTGGCACGATAGAATTGTTCCTTTGAATTACCCAATCTTTACCTTAATTTCTAGACTACGTCCACCAAGCCTGCTAAAATGTTCGGACACTCCCCCGACCTCGGAACGTTGCTCGACGTTTCTAATCGAAGCCCGGATGATGATGTCATCATACTCTTGTCTTAGTATGATAGCGTACATACGGAATACTTGATTCGGGCGTAGTATCCTTGGGGCAGTTATCATATAAGTTCTATAAAATAGAAATATGCACACAGGGTGGGCGGATATACGGATAACAATAAGGCTCTCCATGATGTCAAGGAGACAACTGAATCAGTTGAGGTGACTGTAAAAGGTCAACATGAACAGGTTTCTGAACTGAAAACTGACAATGGATTTATACATAAATGTAGTGCAAGGATGCAGGGTAAAATGTGCGCTATGGATAATAAAATTGATGTGATGTAAGACCAACGAGAAGAAAAACGGTTTCGCTTAATGAAAATCAACTTAGTGTTCCATGGTGTAAACAAGACAACCCGTTTTTAAATAACCACTATTCAGATTTCTTTATTTTTGCACCGTAAGCCTCCAAGTGTGTGAAACTTCGATAAGACATTTTGATTGCAACTGAATCAACCCTTCGCTAATGTTCCGTTCAAATATGTTCGAAATTGTTATTTGAAAATCAAACTTAAATAAAAAATGTATTGGTTAAAATTCCGAAATACATGTACTGCATAACTGAAAATATAAAGAGGTTACAAAGAGGTTATAACCAGCCGGGGACCAGTAATGTTGCGTTTCAAGTTGTCACTTTTTGAGTTGTATGATATTTATTACTACCGACTTTATTTCGATTACGTGGATTAAACCAATTAATATCGGCAGTGAAATATTTTTAATCTAAAGACACAGGTGATATTAGAAATGAAACTCATTAAATATTAAATCTCTCACATATATGTTATTCCAAGTTCAATAGTAGTCCATTGCCCATTGGAAAGTCATGGTTTTTGGTAATCAGCATTGTATGAGTATTTTCATGTTATTTACATGTTATTTTCACGTATTTACATGTTATTTTCATGTATTTACATGTTATTTCCATGTATTTACATGTAATTTCATGCTATTTCCATGTATTTATTTTTATGTATTAACATGTTATTTTCATGCACTAACATGTTATTTTCATGAATTTACATGTTATTTTCATTGTATTTACATGTTATTTTCATGTATTTCCATGTTATTTTCATGCTATTTTCATGTATTTATTTTTTATGTATTTACATGTTATTTTCATGCACGTACATGTTATTTTCATGAATTTACATGTTATTTTTATATATTTACATGTTATTTTCATGTATTTACATGTTCTTTTCATGAATTTACATGTTATTTTCATGTACAATATTCACATTCTATTTTCATGATTACAATTTCCAATATAATAATGAAAAAGGCATTTTTTTTTAGAATTGTACGACGTGAATATTGACACGTTTTTGAATTTACATTACTAAAGATTAATCACAAAAAGTTATACAATAATAATAATTGTTAATTAGTAATGTTATAAATTATTAATCATTAATTAATACAACTAATAATTATTATAAAAAAGTAAACACTTACGCCCTCAAACGACCCGGTGGATGGTAAGTAATGAGATCTTTCTGTCCAGTAACGTCATTTATCAATAGTGTAATAATATAAATTTCAAATATAAGCGATATTTCCATTTTTATCATTTTCATGTCTGCAACTCTACAATGCTTTTTGTAATCCTGTTTTTACACTGTCTTGCAGTTCTTTTTCTAGTCCTGATAAATTTTTAAGCTAAGCTAATGTGAGATACCTGCATTTAAGGTAGCCGTATTGTAACTGTTTAAGAATGAGCGTTGTTTAATTGTAATTTCACGTACATTACCTTTTAGGTTTCGCATAATATTCATTTTCTTTAATATTTATCGAGTCACTATTAAAGGGTAAATACACGCTAACAAAATATATGACCTTCGATTGTCGAATTTTGTAGTGGGCACGTGGATCAATGAGTATGTCCCTATATGAAGTCAAAAACCCTAAGAACAACAAACAAAGATTCAAATGCTTCAACGGACAGGTCTAAAATAAATAATTTTGAAACGAAACAATTCCGATATGTATCTTTACAAAGTACCTAAACAAACGATATTCAATACCACTCGATGTACTTATTATATATATTAAATGAATGAATATTCGCTTTTTGCTAATACTTTGAGTTGCCAATACTGTCTGGGATGATGAAAAAAAGGTATTGGTTGTCCGTTAGTAAATATTTATTTATATATTTATTATTTATTTGACAGTCATATTATTAAAATAGGTTAAAATCAAGCTGTGTTGGGTTTCACATAAACCTTTTTCAGAAATCTTTTTGTAGAAACATCAAAATTCCAGCCATTGTCGTACCCCCGAATGCTAAACACATCATCCCCAAGAATCCACTTTAATTTCATTTGTGGGAGGAAATTAAGGTACTGAGACACGCAATATGGCGTTGTTTTATTCAATTCTATCATTAGGGTCATCTTTTTATTAAGATATACAGAAAGTACAATCCATCCACATGAACCAATTAATATTACTAAAATGCTATATGTGCTGACCGCTTACCACTGTATTAAACTGACCAAATGGGTCACGTGTTTTATTTACTTATGAAAATAGTTTCCATACATAAAAATGCAGTATTCGACTATGTATTCAATGAAAAATATGTAGTTCGTGAGATTTTTTCATAACCCGGTCGTTTAGACCTAGAAACAGAACAATGGATAAAGAATTAAGTATTATAAACAAATTCACATTACTCTTATTTTATGTTAAACATAGCTATTAAAGAGAATAATAAATTAAAAGCAAGTCAAGTTAGAAAAAACCACGAGTCTGACTTCTTTTATTATTGAAAATATATGTATTAAATGAATGTATTCTTCTACAATTAATGTACCACATGACATTCTCTATATGACCTCTAGACACATTAATAAAGCAGGGTATGGCAGAAAATTATTATTTAACAAAATATGGTTTTGTTTTTCTAAGAGAGATTTACTATAAGCACCTTTTTGAACCTCCTTGTGAATCGAACTTTCTCCGTTAATTACTTGTGCATCACATTCACAACTGATCTGAAATAATAGCTGCATTCCGTTTAACATGTTGAAAACCCCAGACCCCATATTAAAGCGAGAATCGGTGTGTTAGTATAGTTTTTTTCTGCTTCATAATTCGTATTTTAGGATATTTATCGGTATATAAATTAACTAATGTTTTTGTATATTGAACATTTGTACTCGTTGAATGCATGTTATGTTTGTAGTCCAGAGTATTTCTATAATTAAAATTGATGTTATTTTTGCATTTAAATATACCATCTCCTGATTTGCATTTAAGATACAATACAATCTCCTGATTTAGATTACATACCCCAAGGTAAATATTGGTAAAACAAGAATTAAAATATATGGTCACTGGCCATGGCAGACCAACGGACTGTTGTTACACTTATTTTAGGCCTAAGTTCAACAAGGCACATGGCGTGGACGAGATCACACCATCAAAAATTTACAAAATGGCCGCCAGAAAAATGGCTGCCAAAAAGTTAATCAGCTCTAAAACTTATGTGTCCTCTTTCACGCGTTGGTGGAAATCTATGAGGCCTGTACGAGGGTTGTCCCAGAAGTAATGCACTATATGCTCTAACTTTCTTTAATATTCTTCAATTCAGCTGAAATTTTGTGTATATAACAATTGAAGTTTTATCTATTATATACTGAAGTTTCAGCATCCCACATTTATATTAAGTCTTAATATGGTTGCTATAACAACATGGGGGTAGGGGTGGGTGGGGCAGGTACCAATTTTTCTAATTATGAAAAGATCTAAAGTGTTATTTTATTAATATTTCTTTCCTTTAAATGGTCAAAATGTTTGGGAAATTGTTAAATTTATTCAGCATGGTGTTAACCAAGTACAAATAATGACATTTAGCACTGTGATGTCATAAAACCACATTTCAACAGTCACGAATTCAAATACAGTCACAGTCTAGAATTTGCAAAAATGGCTGCAATTCTCACCTGATAACAGAAGGCCTTGCGTTTGGTGGCCTGATTTCATACTTCACTTGGACTCACAGCCACGCAAAACAATGCTACCATGAAGAAAGTATATTAGGAGTATATACCAGATAGAACTACAATTATAGGGTGGCAGAAGAGACGATTTGACCCTGGATGACAACTGCAAACATAGGAGGCAAAAACTCCACAAGTCAAAGTTGAAGAAATTGCCGAGAGTGTTTGACCTGACAGGCATCAAAAGTACATAACATGCAAAGGGCAATATTTTAAGAAAATGTGAAATGGGACATTGTACAATATACATCCATTAAATCTAGGATGTGCTCATAGTAATTAAAATGTATTTTTGAGCATACTTCTTATAGCTACACCAAATGGCATTTGTTGATTAATCATTTCATATTTTCAATTTTTTATTCCTTTTGACGTGACTGTATAACCTGCCCCGCCCTACCCAAACACACCAACTTGATTTTATTATAACATCAATATAGTTTTATCAGTCAACGTGGATTTTTTTAGAATAATCAAAATGTCTCTAAGGAACATTTACTGAAAATGTCATAGAAAAATATCAATTATTGATAAAGTTAGAGCATATAGTGCATTACTTCTGGGACAACCCTCGTATAACAGCATTTGCAATTCGGGCATTTTTATTTGAAAAAGTTAAATAATCGTAAAAACAAGAGAATAATAAAGCAAGTACCATGTTAGAACCGCAAACCTTGCTTTTGTAAGCATATAAAAATCCTTCCATATTATGTTGACTTAACACACAGATTCATCAAATCAATCAACGCTTATTAAAGCTACTTGTGATGATGGTATATTAGTCCATGGTATGACATTTCTAGGACGTCTAATTAAGGAGTTGGTGGCACCATATATGCATAATGATATTTGAGCTTATATTTAGATACCTACATGTGGCCCGCGTCTTATTTTTGTATAGCCGTGATAAATACGGCGGCCTTTTAGGCCGAATAATGCATGTCATTATCAGGGGTCAAAAAACGTGTAAAAAGTTTTTCGTATTTTTTTCATAATTTAAAGTACAAACATTAAAAGAAAATCACATGAAAATATCTTTAATATATACATCAAGTTTCTTGGCTATAATTTTGCGGTATGTGTTCCTTAAAATACCATATATATAAAAAATCAATGTTTCAACATTTTATGTCGTTTTGGAGATATTGGTGAAGCAATCAATATATTGGCACCTTTATTACCTGTGAATAACATATGGTTATAATATGTCCGTTTTTACTAAATTAGTTGTAATACATTTTGAGATATGGACTGCCGTATTCAGGGGTCAATTGCCAATAAAGGGAGACTCGTTGTTCTTCCTTGTCTAATACCGTCTGCGATTGAAAATTGTTGCATATGGTTGAACATGAATTGTTGCTTATATAAGGACCATATCATCAACATTTGATTGACTACATTGATCTTTGAGAAATGTCGGCAATCATGTGAAAATGACAAATATAATTGTTATATTATACTGTTTGTTACACATTAATAAAAAAATCAGAATTCTGAAGTAACAAAACATGAACGCACAAGTGGAAATGGAAAAGGCACAGCAACAAATGGAATGTGTTAAAGAGTATACTTATATAAGCTAGGTTCGCGTTAACGCCGTTTTTCGCGTTTTTTACGCAGTTAATTTCATCTTCACGCAAAACTGCAACACATCTTACGTATCGTGTACGCAAAAATCATATCCCCCAAACATACCGATGATGTATGTATGTATGTATGTCTGATTCGTGCATAATATTTGTGTTCCAGTTATTAAGCCAATCAAAATTCTTGTAGCAAACGTATGCGGCTAAACAGGGTATAGCTGCAGAATTTTTTCCGCAGGACCGTTCGTGTGAATTGATCGCTTATTTTATAATCTGCACTGTACAGCCGTGGAGAATCAACTTGTTCATGGTAAATGGAGGTAATCAACCCTAATATAGATGGTCACCATGTTAGATTCTTTTTAAATATTTCGAATGGCCACTTGAATCGGTGGGACTGCATTCAAATAACCACGGCTATTTGATGCCTACCGACTGCAGCAATCTGATGCAAGCACCATATCCGGATGTCATAAGGGGATTCCCCGTCCATAGCCAAACCGCCGATGAAAAAACGATAATTTCTTCGTTAACATGCAAAATGCCAACGCATATTTGTTACATACAACGAACGCCGAATATGTACTGTCAATGGACTTTATGTTGGAAACTATAACAATATGTCATACCACTCTTGGTGGTGACATAAGAAACCCTAGCAATCCCAAAGTCAAGCGTCTATCAACCCCTCCCGACCCACGAGCTAAGTATAAACATCATTCCCAGACCATTACACCAAGTAGCACTTCATTATACTCGAGTCATTACAACACAAATTGAATAAAAATACAAATTGAGAGCCAATACTCATAACAATACTAATAGTATATTGGATAATACAATATTTAGAATTTGGTCTTAATGCTTTGAGATAGATATAATTCGTTTAACGTTTAAAAGGGTCAGCATCCCACTGCAAACCTAAAGCCTTCAGTTTTAGCAATTTAATTGACAATGCCTAAAATAATCCCCACATCCTTCAGCATCTCGATTACACTTAACTTAAAAGTTCGCAAAATCCAGAAATTATTTTACAAAAAGAAACACTGTTCATTAAACAAAACAAAATACCTCAAATAAAAATCAGTGACTATAGCATTTGGATTCACTCTCATAAACCAATCCTCTCATGAAAGCTCTTATATAGAACTAATAATTCGTTTATAAATCACAGGTAATATTGCCTAACATAATGCATTCGCAAAAAAGTAACATCTCACATGAAAAATCAAAAACATAATAGCCTCATGAATATACTCACAAACACGCACGAATACCTCACACA